ACACCCTCCGAGTGACTCTCAACAATACCATCTACGTGGACGTCCCCATCCAGCTCATCAGCTTCCTGTCTATCGACCCTCCGCCTATGCCGAACGATGAGGCCAGGCCTTGGGCGCCTATGGTCCCGACTGTAGCTCTCGCTGCCTCCGATACCAGTGTATGTGTGTTCTTATAGTCTTTTCGGGCACTACTGACCTTGCTGTAGTCTCCTGTATTCCCGAAAACCGAGCCTCAGCAGGCAGCCTCGCCCGGCGCTCTTACGAGCGAGTACGACCATGGCCCCGCCGCTCGTCCCAGCAGTACCACTCTCCACGTCGAAAACTTTCTCCAACCCCCCAACGCCCAAGCCCGCACCCTCGCTTCTCCCCTCGAGCCTCATCAACCCCCTCCCAATCGCACACAGAGCCCAGCTAGCAGCTACACCGAGTCTCGCGACCACTCTTGCAGCCAATCTGCCCTCGCCTCCGAGCCGCCTGTCTTGCCGGGTCTTCTCAATATCCCTTCTTCCTCCCGTTCGGACGTCAATTCGTTTGAGGGAATGGACTTTGAAGATGAAGACGATGATGGGATTGGGAATACCGTTACTCGTGCTACGAAACGGGCCCAGGGCAGGCAGATGAGCTTGGCTGTTATTCAGGCCGAGGCGGAGCATGAAGAGAGGTTGAGGGCTGGGCAGGAGGAGATCTTGCAGGATGAGGCGATGGAGGAAGATTTCACAGAGTATTCCGGGAGCGAGTGTACGCGTGAGCTCGACTATGATGACGATAGAGCGCCTTTGCCTATCGTCGAGGAAGGAGAAAGCACGGTCGATCTTGGCGCCTACACCCACGACTACCAGCCCGCCGCCCCTCAACACGAAGACGAGTGGGACTTTGGCGAAGATGAAGAAGCCGCCGAGACTCCTCGACCCCAATACGAGCCCGAGGCGGGGCACGAGACGTTGCTGGAGGCGATGGTCGACGAGGATAGGCAAGAGCTTGAGGAGGTCATGTCGATGTCTGGCCATGGCGATAGGGAGAGCCACGCGTGGGACTATGAGGATGAGATGGGCTCTGAGGGCGAGGAAGATGGGAGGGGGGAGACGCCTCGTCCGAAGGAGCATTCGCGCTCGCCGAATCGTTTCAGGCTGTCTGCGTACAAGCCGTCTACGCCTTTCGAGATTGACATTCCCAGCGACTCGGACGACTCTCATCCCTCTGCCATCTTCCCCGCCAAGCCTGCCGATGAGATGCCCGTCAAAGAAGAGCTCGAGACTACGCAGGTTCAAGAGGCTGTCCGACGCCCGATCGTCCGGGTTCCCTCCCAGCTCATCTCTGTAGGGGGCGATAGCCGTCGACCGAGTCTTGCTACGTCTGCTGGAAGCGATAGTCGGAGGCCGAGTCTTGCAAAGAGTCCCAGCACGCAGTCGTTGAGGGCAAAGGCCGGCAGGGGGACGTTGAGCGAGAGGCTGGAAAATGTGGTCAACAAGGCGGATATTGCGTCTTCGCCTCGACGAGCGTCGGTGATGAGTAGGAAAGAGTCGTTGACGAGTTTGACGGGCAAGCCGGGACCGACGTCTCCTGCGAAGGAGGGACCGGCGGCAAAGGTGTTGCAGAAGAAGAACTCGTTCTCTTTTGCGACGCCCGGCTCGCCTTTGAAAGCTCGAGTCAAGGTGGCTCCTTCCCCCGCTGTATCTCCTACCAAGACTGCGGCCAAACTGCCTCTTACCACCAGTCCTGTCAAAGCCCCCGTCAGACTCCCCTCCGTCAGCAGTCCTACCAAGTCATCGGCCAGACTGCCTTCTAACACTAGCCCGACCAAGGTCTCGTATATGGCAAAGGGTATGGAAAGAGGAATGTCGGGCACGTCGATCAAGTCACAGTCTACCATCTCGAGCCAGCCACCGCCCCTCCAGTCGTCCATGATGTCGGACTCGGCGTCTTCGGATGGTCGATATCTCGAATCCCCCCTTTCAGACTCGGCAGCTGCGATGGGGTATCAAACGTTTTCGCCCCTCATTTCCACTGCTGGATCGACCCATCGGGAGTGGGGAGGCATGCACGAGCTCGGTTCTCCGTTCGACTCTAAATCTGCTCGAGTTCATCAAGATTCTGTCATGTCCCGCCTTTCGCTGTCCCGTCCTCGATCGCCTCGCCATCTCGAACCTATCAGCATCCCATACGACGATGACGCTTCTATTCGCTCTCGCCCTATGACCCCCTCGACGCCATCGAGCTGTCACAGCGTTCTTCCGAGCGTCAAGAACAAGATAGCGCAGTTGGAGAGTAGAGACGAGGCGTTGAGAAAGTTTTCGGTGGCTGGGAGTGCGATGCTGTCGCCTGTGGGGTCGGCGAGGAAGGGGGTGGACGGAGCGAGGCAGAGGAAGAGTTATACGGCGGCGTTGGCACCGAGGGGAGAGAGGTCGGCGAGTGAGGCGTATCGAAACCCTCTTCCGCGTCAAGTGTCTGGGTCTACTATCAGGACTACGAATTCGACGTCGTCGCAGTATAGCTACGAGTATGATCCTCTCTACGCGCCCGAGTCTCCCGCGTACAGTACGCCGACGACACCCAAGAGGGGCAGTCGACTCCCCGAGAGCCCGTCAAAGATTTCTCTCGCCGGCGCTCGACTCCCCGCTTCGACTACCTCTTCCCCCGCCTCTTATCGCAGCGCCGTCTACGGCGCCGACTTGTCGACCTACGCCTCCGCCTCTGCCCCGGCCAAGCTCGACCCCTTTGGGATCGGATACAGCTCGGCGGGAATCGGGTTGGGGAGTGTGGAGGAAGATCGAGAGAGGGAGGGGCTGGAGAGGGAGGGGTCGATGAAGAGTACGAGTACGACGGCGACGGATGTGGAGAGGGCGTTTAGGTGGAGAGATTATGGGGGTCAGAGAGAGGGGGAGAGTTTGGAGAGTTTGCGGTAGGGAAGTGTTTTAAGGGGAGGGGGGGTGTTGCATGTTTCTTGTTTGCGGTTATACGGACGCTTGTTACGATTTCCTCATATTGCTTGGTACCTAATAGCACTCGCATTGCTTGTCTTGTTCATAACAAATGGATTGTCATCTTGTCAATCACGCTGATCGCTGCGCTTGACGTCTTCTGAATATCACTCATGTTTGCATAGTCCCTTCTACGACCGAACCTCCTCTTCGACCTCTATCCACTCTCCCTCTTCATCATCAAACTCCCCATACGCCACGATCCCGCTCCAGAACAGATACGAAACCATCGACACCGCCGCACCTGCAAACCACAACCACCTTCCTCTTTCGAAACTCTTCTCTTTACTCGTCTTTTCCTTCTTCCCCTCCTTCTCCGTCTTCTTAGGGGTCGAAGCAGAGGCAGAAGGGCCGGGGATGAAACTGCTGAGCGTCTCACCCCAACTAGCAGCCTTCACGATGCGAGGACGCAAGAGAGGGAAAGACGCCCAGTCGAGGGAGAGGTGGGTGAGGAGGCGGTCGTGGTGCGTGACAAGGGAGGGGTAGGTCGTGCGGAGGAGGGTGGGGAGGAGAGGGTTTGGGAGGGAGGGGGTGAGGAGGAAGGTTAGGAGGGAGAAGAGGTGGAGGTCAGGGGTAGTTGGGCTGGACGTTGGGTCAGCTTGTCGCTTTCTTGAATACGAGGGAAACGAGTGCGAGAGGTAGGGGGTGGATAGATGAATAAGGAGAGAAAGACTTACATGTCGCCAAAGAAGTAGTTCTTGCCCTCCAACCGTCTAGCCAGAGGGTCGAAAGCAGCCTTGATCCGCGTATCCAGCTAATCTTCGTCAACGCCTCCCAGGACAAGAGAAGAAGGAAAGACGGCTCACCTGCTGCTCGCCCCACTTTCTCCTCCGCTTCTCTGCCTCCTGACCCGACCTCCAGCCTGTCCAAGCTCGAGGAGCGACGGTACCGCCGGGGCCGGTGATGAACTTTTCTTCCAAGATCCGTTGGTCTTCTTCCACAGCGTCGCCTGGAAAGCCTGTCAGTGACGGAACGGAAGGTATGGCGAGAAGAAGGGAAGGAGGAGGGAGAGGGGAGACGTACCATCATTGAGCCCACCCAAACCCCAAAGCCCTACAAAAGTCAATCTGCTCTTGATGACGCTCCTAATTCTTTGGGGGATGTACTGCGTTTGAGGGAAAGAGAGGGTTGCGAGCTGGGCTTTGGCGATGGTTTGGGGGTAGTTGGGGGGGAGAGAGTAGTATGTGTGGTTCTAGGACACTCTCGGGTCAGCTATGGTTTGAGACAGAAATGGTATGGCAGACTTACGACGAGGTCGACGATATTGGCGTCGAGATACGATTTCCAGCTCAAAGCATCGGCCTTTTCCTCGGCGGACAGGTGCGCGTCGGGGTCTTGAAAGCCGGGGAGGTTGGGGAGGTATGCTGAGGGGACTTTGTGGCCGAGATGGGTGACATACGGGAGCTTGCCTGGAATGTATCGTCAGTATAGTCTTGCGCATGGGAGAGAGTCCAGACTGACCGCCGTTTTGTCCCCAGTCGCCGGTTTCTGCGCCGTATTGACCTGGAGCGGCGAGTTGGAAGAGGGCGATGTAGTAGAGGGATTCGGCGTCTGAAGCTGGGAGGGGGGCGAGGGGAGGAGTTGCGTGGAGGATGATGGGTGGGGCGGGCATGCTGGAAGCTGAGAGAATGTGTCTGCTGTGTGTGTGGTCTGGATGGGAAAGAGTGACACCAAGGGGCTGAAGGGGTGGACTTTTTGGCAGCGAAGAAGGACTTGTCAATTGTCTTTTGGCGAAGAGAATGACGAACGGTGGAGACGACCGCCTGTTGACAAGTGGCCTGCAAGTGGCCGAGGTGAATGATTTCCCCCTTACCTCCACCTCCCCAAGCAACCCCAGCAACACGAAGATAACCCCCCCATGCACCACATCCACCCCCCGCCGCACCCCGCAATGCGACATATCGCACTCGCTTCGGCAGTCCGGTCAGGTTGACGTGTGCACAGACCCCTTGCACGCTCGGGCCCACATCTTGTTGATGCCCCTTGTTTCTTCCTTCATCCCACCATCCCTCCACCACAGCCATGCCCGCCGACACCTCCCAGTGGGTGCACCCCATCCCATCCCTCCCAGACCTCTTCACCCACCACAGTACGTCCCCCCCTCCTTCACATGCCCATCCCTGATTTCCCCCAGCGAGCTCCCTCCTCCGTCCCTTCGCCCGCTTCTCCATCTCCCTCTTCCGCTCCACCCCCTCCCTCCCCAACCCAGCACCCCTCGAGCCCCTCGACACCCTCGCTGCCGCCACTGCCCACCCGCCAAAGGGGCCTGCTATCAAAGGTGTCATCGCCCTCCAGTCATTCGCCACCCAGTTCCGCGAAGCTGTCGTCGCCCGCAAGCTCAAGAAGGAGGAAGACTATGTCCAGCAGCGGCTCTATCAGCTTGTCAGGGGGTATGCTGCTGCTGGGAATCTGCTCGCGAGGCTGCTCTGGGACGGGGAGGCCGGGGGCGAGGATCCTGATGTAGCCGAGTATGAGGCCGCTCTCAAGCAGTGTGTCGAAGGCTTCTTCATCGCTCGCTCCCTCCTTCGCCCTGCGCTATCATCGGCATACGATCCTCATATCCTCGGCGCCATCTTTTCCTTCCCAGCGCCTTATCGACACTCCTTCTTGACGCCCATCTTGCAACACGCCCGACGGCTCACTGCGACCCTCCAGACTCATCCTACTCGACCTATCGCTGGCAAAGCCAAATCTCCTTCTCCGCAGATCATAATCCCCCAAGTATCTACCGCCGACGTTACCTATGTCGTTGCGCTGCTCGAGACCATCGTCGCCGCCGTTGCCGCCATCTCTGAAATCGACGAGATCGTCTCGGACGAGGTACCGACAAAGATGACAAAGAAGAGGGAGAAGGAGTTGCAGCGAGAGAAGGATAACAAGCCATTGAGGGTCAAGCTGGAAGTCATGCTAGCCGGGTGCGACCTTCTTTTGAGTTTGGCAAACAAGCGTATCGGAGAGGTGAAGGCGAGGGCGGCGAGGAAGATTGGGAAAAGAACAGGATGAACGCTAACCGCTAACCCGCTAACTCACTAACCGTTACCTCAAGTCACAGCTAAGCCTACCCGATAACGCTAAGCTACGGCTAACAACCGCTAACCGCTACCGTAATAATAACCTAACCCCGCTAACCACCCGGCTAACCCCGCTAACCCTCGACCTTAGGGTGCGAGGAGGCGGAGGAGGGCTTGAGGAGGTCGACTACGACCTCAAGGTGTACGGGCCTGGAGGGACAAGAGCGTGTATGTGGTTCAGGGAGGAAGCCGAGGAGATGGAGTGGATTCGACTGGGTGCGAGGACGGATGGTGGGCGTGGTTGAGCAAGAGGACGCAGAGGTTGTCGATAAGGCGCCGAGAATCTACGGGGGCATTCCGCCCCTTGTACTTTTGGCGGGGTCTATGAGCGAAGGAAACGGCGTGGAATGGCGGTAGTTGGCGGAAAGTGTCTGGAGAAGGAAGTGTGCACGGGCTGCATAGTAGGGTGGCGATAGAGTTAGTGAAGGCGAGGGGAGGACGTTGTGGATGTAGGGGAGAGGGAGAAGGAGTAGCTAGAGGCGAGAGGGTTTTTAATTGACTTGGCGAGTCGGGCCGTCTTGTCTTTTTCCCTCATTTCGACATCGTCTTACATACAGTCCTAGTACATAGAAATGATGAGCGCTACAAACTCTATGTAACCCTCTTAACCCACGATGAGGATAGGGCGATGAAGACAGTCTCTGTGCGTTCCCACCGTAACTGGTCATGCCGGCCTGCGCATCTGTCCGCGGGACGAGAGCGGAACATCGGCTTTTCCTACTTTGCCGGTCCACTTTTCATCTCACCGCCATATGCTGTCAATTGATCTGCCCAGATGATAGCATACAAAAATCAAGAACATTCATGCCTCTCATACACGTGGTAAAGACGTAGCCGGATACCCCAAAACTCGGCAAAACCACCCCTCATCACCCACCACTTCCACTCCTCACACCTCCCATCAATATCCCAAGGTACCGACCCCATCCCCCACTCTTTCCCTCTCCCCCTCTCTCAAATCCCAGAATCCAAGACCCAAAGCCCTCCAAAACATCCCTCTCAAACACCCCACTATGCACTCTTCCTAGCCTTCTTCCTCCCCTTCTTTGTATTCTGATCGGCGGCGAGGTCTGTCCATTTGTCGAGCTTGTCTGGTGCGAGGCCGAGGGATATGAGGGTTTCCCTATTGCATACAGTCAGTAGGGTACTTGATATGGGGGATAGAGAAAGAGGTAGATATGCGAGAGGGGGGAAGGCAGCGAAAGGGGAAAGAAGCGAGAGATAAGGGGGACAAAAGAGGACACGGAAACGGAGTCGAAGAGGACAAGCGATCCAATTGGACATTTTTGCTGGGATGGGAAGACGTCGAAAGATCCATCACAAAAGAAACACTCACCCATCAAACTCCCGGATAACTCTCACCCCAAACGCATCCCACTTTTCCCCCACCCTCCCCCCCTCGCCCCTCATCCACGCCGTCATCTTCCCCCTCCTCCCCGCCTCCAACGTCAACCACACCGCCAGCCTCTGCTCTTCATACCGATCGTGCAGGGCGAAGAGCGCGCGCAGAGGACATTTGTGGGAAGAGTTGTCGGACGGGTCGTTCTCGTCGTCGTCGTCTTCGAATTCGGATTCGGAATCGGAGGAAGAGGAAGCGTCGGAGGGAGGGTCGATTTCGGCTTTGGTGGCTGGGTTTTGAGAGTGCGATGAGGTAGTGGGAGACGGGGGGAGAGGGACGTTCTCGGGGGTAGGTTCGATATCTTCGCCAAACCAGTCGATAGCCTGGACGTCGTTGGCGAGTACATTCACGCGCCCCTCCTCCGCAAGCGCCAACGCAAGATCAAGGGCGTCGAGAAGCCCCTTCTCCGCAATGCCCTCCCACGCCACCGCCGCCTCTTCCTCCACCCCCTCCAATACCGGCTTCACATCATCCTTTTCATCTTCCTCATCC